TTTCGGTCACAAATCGGAGCTTAAATTGAGTTTATTGCACGCGCGGTCAACAAATTGTGTGAAAACAACTGTGCTGTCACAAATAATGCGCGTTATAGAGGTGACCAATGAAATCACGGCATTAAAAACACGTGATAGCGCGCTGGCGAGTGAATTAGTAAAATCCGCGCGTGGCTCTTGTTGCGTATACTTTGCTTTTTCCCGATTGGTAGTTAGCTTGTAGGTTTATAACCTAACAGGCGACGCGCGCCGAGTTGGACTCGTCGACAGTGATCCATAATATACTGAACAAATATTTTACGAGTATCACCTTGCTCTCACCAGAGCCTTGTAGCGCGATGCGTTACTGTGCCGCGCCGCGCACTCAATGAGGCTTCACACTGGCTAGATCGGCGAAATGCGCTACTGTGCCGCGCCGAGCTGCCATGAATTGACATCGTCAATTAAATTAAATCAATAATCATGTTAATATGAGTATTCAACACTACTCGACAACAAATATTTGCAGGCCCATCGAGGATTCAGTCGCCGAAACAAAAATCAAATGTTCGCTTTTTTGTTTCGGGAACTGTTTGAATTCTGTACTATATCCGACTAAACAAACTTTATAATTAAATGGTTAAATGGTTAAAAAAACAAAGTAACAAGATTTTCCTCGATGGGCCGGCATTTGCAACCGCGAAACGTTTTGAGTACGACAAACGATGACACCACCACCAGCCGTTAGTTGATAAGTCCATGACGGGATAAAGTTAAAGTAAGATGTGTAATTTCATATTGCCTATCACCTATCACCCAAGTTACTTTGCATATACTGCTTCTAGTTACACGATAGCGATCTCAGTTCCCAATAACGTGTGACCCAACAGAAGGGATTGTGGAAGGACACGTACATTTTTCATTAACACGTGCCCTGGTTACCTCCTCCGTTGAGCTACTATACGGGGAACGTTGACCGCCAGTCTGTAGTCAGATCGTTAATAAATTTTACTTTAAAATTGGTTGCCGGGCGATGGTGTCAGTGAGAGACGTTAAGTTAGGTGAACATTGGTACAAAAATATAATAATCTAGCAGTTTATCTCAAAGTTAAAATCACTATTTGTTAAAGTATACAAACAGTTCTATTCAAAAGAACAAAGTCCGAGAGCAGAGAGAAGATTTGGAGACTATACACGCATGTGTGGGGTTTAAATTTGGTATTAGTAATTTTAGGGTTCGACCGAAAATGTTGGTCGGTTGGTTAATAGGGAGCATTCTAAGCCATGATAAGAACGGCCATTCCTAATGCCAAGGGTTACAAAATGATGACACAAAAATTGTTGGTTAAAGTAACCCGTAAGATAAATACGGTAGACACTCTTAGATACAGAGAGAGTGAACTACAATGAATAATATATATCAATCCCTTTCCTAACTAAGGTTATGGCAGTCAATCATATGAGAGCTGGCAATTCACATCGTGATTGTGCTGATGAAACTCTGCTGCTAAACTCTCTGCTATTCTGGAAATTCAGTTGTACCTCGTACAAGAGATGTGTGTGAAGCAGACCACTCTAACTAGTAGGAGACCGCTTCACAAAAAAAGGCGACCAAGTTACCTTTTTTATCAAGCCTTTTTTATTTATTGAAGTGATTTGGATATTAAACACAGATCACTCAGCGTAATAACCATACACACTCATATCACTGATCAACCAAGTACATCTGAGAGTTATAACTAGAGAGTTATCTAACCTTGTTATAAATCTATTTTATTACAACCCTTTCCCACAGAGTTTGACTTGGTATTATTGATAACAATTCTCCCTATTTAGCGGTAATAACAGCTTTAAATAGTTGCGTGAGTGATCATGTGACAGTGATTTTGTGATAATGTAACTGAAGCGGGTATACAAGGTACGTGATGATTTGAAAGTGTTAATATCTTGCATCTCTCCGCATCGAAGAGGCTTTGCCTGTACCAGGGCTGTCACAGTCAATGTCACGTGAGGTGGAAGACCAGCTTCAGGTGTGGATAAAAGTAGACCATAAAGATTTGGAAAATAATCCTTTCCTAAATAACAGCTGTTACCAGCAGCTGTCATATCATGGGAGACTTATAGGTCTTCCTAAGTGGGGCACAGGGTGAATTTGTAGGGTGCTATTGTCAGCAAGAAGCTATATATGTATCAAGTTCACTTGTCACACCGTTCCTCAACAATGCGTCCCATCCATGTTGCTTTTAAAGAGCTTGACAGCCGCCCCATTGGAAGAGACTGATAGGCGAGCCAGAGATAAAGACCCAGATGGTGGATTAATTATCTTGAGGCAGTCCAATTGACTATGAACGAATCCGTGCGGCATGTAATGGTTGATACTGTATACTAATACAGCAGAGTTCACCAAAGATCAGAGGTAAACTTACTAATAGTAAATAAAGAATATAAATGACAGTCCCTAAGTCGCCTCGACTCAGTGAATATCATCTATGACACTACAAATGGTGAATAAAGAATATTTATATTTAAATGAAATTCACAATGTTCGCCTTGACACATTGAAACTCATCCATTTGTAAAACATGCGGCTAAGGTTATTAGCTCAAAACACGTTGCCGTGTTTCGATGCAAACTATTATTCTTGCTTCGCAGAGCAACGATCTGGAAGGGTTTGGGGTTGACATCGTCAATCAAACAGAAACCATCAATATTATAATTTGAAAGATTATCTTTGTATGTCTGTATGTCTGTATGTCTGTATGTCTGTATGTCTGTATGTCTGTATGTCTGTATGTCTGTATGTCTGTATGTCTGTATGTCTGTATGTCTGTATGTCTGTATGTCTGTATGTCTGTATGTCTGTATGTCTGTATGTCTGTATGTCTGTATGTATGTATGTCTGTATGTATGTATGTATGTCTGTATGTCTGTATGTATGTATGTATGTCTGTATGTCTGTATGTCTGTATGTCTGTATGTCTGTATGTCTGTATGTCTGTATGTCTGTATGTCTGTATGTCTGTATGTCTGTATGTCTGTATGTCTGCACAGTGCACACATGCAAATCAGATGAGAAATAGAAAGTTAGGTTAAAAGCAAAAGGTTGCATAGCAACGGTGTTGGAATGGCCGATGGGCACTTGCACGTGTAAAAATTGTCTGAACGGCATTTTGATCGGTTTTGTGGTAATTACGTTGTGTTTAAAGTGTTTTACATTTAAATCGGCTGTATCTTCGGTTGGGATGGATATTTTTGGATGCGATTAAAACTTTTTTTCAAAGAATACTACTAGCTTCCTGATTCATCCCTGTTAACACGGGCTTTCTAGTACCTATATATATAATTATATATACAATTATATATAATTGTTACGCAACCCATCGTCTCATCGTATAGTAGTGAGTAAACGACACGATGGAGCCTCTTTCTATGCTTCTTAGCAGTTTGCTAGGACGTACTTTTCAATTCATTTCAATTCAATTCAATGGCAATTCAACACAACAAAAGGATCATTGGAGTGGAACATAGAACACCAATAGTCCTATCAACAATAGGTGGAATGGGAAGAGAAGCTAATACTTTCTTCAAGAAGTTAGCTGATAAACTATCTAGAAAATCAGTTCAAAGATACAGTGAGGCGATGACATTTATCAGGGAAAGAATAAGATTTGACTTATTGAGAACAACAATTATTGCTCTTAGAGGAGAAAGAATGATGAAAAGTGGTAGTGCAGTTAAAATAGCAGATCTAGATATAAATTTAGAGCCAGTGCATGGATTGTCATAGACTACTTTTACTGTCAAGGTTTTTTATAAATGTTCCTCAGTTTTTAAGGGGGTTTTTTACTCAGATTTTTACTTTTTTACCTAGAAAAATTCAATGGCAGTCTTATAATTTTTATGGTACCGGCTTGATAAAAAAGGTAACTTGGTGAAGCGGTCTCCTACTAGTTAGAGTGGTCTGCTTCACACACATCTCTTGTACGAGGTAACAAGTTTCTTCATATATAGTGAGTTTTTGTATACAATAAGTGGTTCCAAGGCAAAGACATGAAGAAAAAGGTTTTCCTCCCCTTTCCCAAGGCTGAACATATCGTCCAAGCTAAGAAGTTGTTCACATATTATGCCAATTTGGTAAATTTTAAAGCTCCCTCAGTTTTTTACATTATAGCTATTGTGTCGAAATAAAACTACTCTCTAGCGTTATAACTAATCATTTAGAAACCCTCTCCATCCCTCTCAGTGATAACAATGTCTAACAACAAATTTTCATTTATTGCAAATTTTCAAAACTCTTTTACAAAAACACAGTATTTTTCATAAAAGTACCACATGTACTCATATTTGTAACTTTGCGATAAGAATATTATCTGTGATTTGCATTTAAAATTATAAGTCTGAAACACTTCTGATTATCAAATTATGAATGAAACAACACTCTTCTTAGATAAGTAAAATAAGAAGATACAAGATGGAAATGACAACCAGTTATCGTTATGAGAGTGAAGTGCCGAGAGCTGCAGCGCTACACAGAGCATTGGCACGACAGAATGCAAGCATCAGAGCTACTGAGACATTAGCTGCTGACAAGGCTGCTATTAAGGAAACATTCCTCAAGTGTCAGGTTCAAAGAATTCACTTACTGACATGGACTTATCTCCGATAATCAAATATCTTGTAATAATAAGGATGATTGCTGAATGCTGATATGGATAATAGATCCGCTTGTAATGATCAATCAATCAATATTAACATTTTTATGATTCATTAGATTCATAATGTGGTTACAAGTTGTTCTGATTATGAACAATAAAACACCTTAACCTTCAGATAGCACACTGGAACGAAGTAGCAGAAGAGGCTACCGAGAGGAAAATATTAAAGAGATACAAAGAAACTCTTGACCAAGAGGTCAGTGGACGTGTACTTATTTAGATGTTTAGCAATCTCTTAAAATAACTTAATTATAACTTGACGGCGGCAGTGCCTGTACTGATAGACCAGACTTAAATGTGACCTACCTATGACCTATGTTGAGTTTCGTCAAGACTTGACGGGGCCATCACATCTTCTGACCACCCCATAGCGAAGTAGAGTCTCGCTCGTTGCGCCAGCACAGCAGAGAGTTCGTATTTGGAGGAGTATATCCCCTGATCGGCGGCTTATCAGGGAGAGACAACATGAACTTTGTGAGCTTATCTTTGAAGTGCTCTAGATCTTGAATGACATTCAGATGGTAGGGGATTGCATTCCACAATTTAGGTCCCTGAACTGCAAATGAGTTGTCAAACAAGGTGAGGTTTGCTGTTGAACTGGTTCTACGTTTTGATGGAATTACTGCAAGGTTTCCAAGCCTTGGGCGTGAAACAAATAGAACGTTCAGATCATTGCTGGTCTTTCCGTGGAGGATTTTCCACATATGGAGAATGATGAATCGCTCCCGCCTTCGTTGAAGAGACATCAGAGATAGATAGACCAGGCGATCCCAGTAGTGGAGATCGCGCATTCCTGATATTCTGGCGGTGAATGCTTTCTGTACACTCTCCAGTTCTTGGATATCGCTGATTTTTGAGGGATGCCATAATGGACAGCAATATTCAATCAGACTTCGAACCATTGATTTGTATAGCGTCAGCATGATGGAGTGAGATCGTGTGTGAAATACACTGAGAACCCATAATGCTTTTTGGCGAGCTTTATCTGCAATGGCTCGTATGTGAGGGGACCAAGAGAGATCACTTGACACTATGACGCCTAAATCCCTGAGCTGATGTATTGGCTCAAGTATAGTGTCTTTGGAAACTGAGTATTGATAGTGTTCAACCACAAATGGAAGTTCAGATAGTACATATTGGTGGTTGAATTTATGACACATGTACTCAAATTTGTCTTTGTGAAGGGCCATATTATTTCTTTCAGACCAGTCAATGACATTTTGCAGATCTTCTTGGAGGAGCTTGACGTCATGCTCCGATTTGATAGCAATGGATATGCGAGTGTCATCAGCAAAACATCGAATTATAGAGTGCATGATACAATGTTCGATATCATTGATAAAAATCAAGAAAAGGATCGGCCCCAAAACAGTACCTTGTGGAACTCCGCTGATTATCAGTGCAAGGATGGACAGATGACCGTCAACAACAACTGCTTGTTTCCGGTCTGAGAGGAAAGATTCTATCCACTTTATGATTTTAGGATGGATTCCATAGAGTTGGAGCTTTCTCAGTAGGAGTTTGTGATCGACTTTATCGAAAGCCTTGGCATAGTCGAGGTATATTGAATCAAAATCTGAATTGTTGCTCAGAGAATCCAAAACGTCATCAAAATGGTGGAGAAGTTGAGTAAGGCAACTCCGGCCAGATCTAAATCCGTGCTGCTTACTACAGATGAGGTTATTGATCTCCAAATAGTTTACCAGCTTTTTTCTTATCACCCTCTCGTATACTTTAACCACATGAGAGGTGAGTGATATAGGTCGGTAGTTAGCTGGTTTGGCTCGACTATCCTTCTTGTGGAGAGGAAATACGTGTGAGAACTTATAGAAACTAGGGACCTCCCCAGTAACTAAAGAGCGGGACCAGATGATGTGCATTGGTTCTGCTAGGGCTTTCTTGCAGTTCTTGAGAAGGGTGACTGGAATTTCGTCAGGACCTGATGCAGCATTAGGTTTGATGTCTTCAATGGCCTTAATGATGTCGTCCACGGAGAAATTCAGCATATCGTCAGTAAAAGGATGCTTGATTGGAGGGGGACTGAAAGAAGCAGAGTCGATCCGAGTTTTCGAAGGATCACTGAATACTGACAAGAACTGATTCTGCAAGAGGTTGGCAATATCTTTTGGATTTGATTTGATGGCACCGTTTCCATCAAAAAGCATGCTGATGTTGCTTTTCTTCTTCGAAAATTTCTTAGCGTAACTATAGAAATACTTGGGATTTTCTTTTACCTTGCTTACGGCTTGCTGTTCACGGTACAGGAGATCCTGGTTGATGGCATCACGAATATCCATATGAGCGAGAGCAAGTTTCCGGTTCAAAGATTCAATCTGTGTGGGAGGGCTATGAGGATTAATTTTTGCAGCCTCTAGCTGGGTTTGAAGCTTTCGTTTTCTGCGAGAGGGGATGCGCACAGATGAGCGAGTTTGGGTTTTGGGAGGGATCTTCTTCGGACAGCCAATCTGGCAGATTTGTAGAGTAATAAGAGTGAATAGCTCTGGAAAATCCTCTTTGTCGCAAAGGTTGATGAGTTGAGCCCAGTCAACAGATGAGAGCATGTCATTGATCGATGAAAAATCTGCTTTATTAAAGTCTAAGCTTCTAAACGAAGAATCAATGAAATCCGGAGGATCTGAATGAGTACAAGGATTGTAAGACAAAAATATCTCTACACGTCTGTGATCTGATAGTGGAGTGTCCGAAATAGAGACGTGAGAAACTAGATCCTCTGAGTTTGAAATGTACAGATCTAATACATTTCTGAGTCGGGTGGGTTCCAGCACATGTTGAGTACATAGATTCTCAGACATGAAGTCAAGTAAAAGAGCTGCACTGTAAGTTGAACATGAGGAACCACCGGGTAAGATAGAATTAGTGGACCAGCCAATGAGGGGAATATTAAAGTCTCCAAGAAGTGATAGCCGGTATTCGCCATCGCCACTGGCAATGTACTGGTCAATGAAGTCCAAACATGATTTAAAACTGGGAACTGGACACTCGGGCGGGCGATATAGAACACAAATGATTGACTTTTCAGATTCGCTGGTACACATCAAAGCCTGACAGTATCTATCATCATATGTCTGGACGTTAGTTATGGGGAGTTCATCATGTGTATAAAGTAAAACTCCACCTCCAACCCTAGCTTCTCTATCACTTCTGAACAGAGAGTAACCCGGAATTTCAAGTTGAGCATCCTCAATGTAAGACTTAAGCCATGTCTCTGTTAAGGCGATTAATGGAACGGTGTGGTTCTTGGCTTGTTCCTTTCTTAATTCGTCTTCAAGGTAAGAAGCTTTCCATCTGGAGGTGTTATGGGCGCTAGGGTTAAATGATTGAATGTTTAGCAGCCAGATGCTAGAATGTTCGACCAGTTCGCTTGGGGAGGAGGAAAACGACTCTGCGGTTGGAACTGGGGAACAGGATGTTGGAACATGATGTTCTGGCTTGGAGGACCGTGAGGGACGAACTGCCTGATGATGTGCTGGTTGGCACTGGGGAAGAGCGAGGCAATTCTGTTCTCTTGAGTCACAATACTGGATTTTATGTTTTCGATCTCTTTCTGAAAAGTGGTCTGGAAGTTCGTCAGAAGGGATCGAATCTTTAAAAAATCCTTGTTCTCATGATGGGGTGTTGACTTAGTATGAGACTGAGAAGAAGAGCGCGTCCTTTTATTGTTGTTATTCTCTTTATTTTTCTGATCATTGGAAGTTCTGTTATCAGAGATGTCTCTTCTGTAGGAATCACGCTCCTTGGGTTTGTGTCGTTTAGTACCAACAGTGTGAACTAATAAGTATTCCTCATCGTAACAAGACTTATCAGACAAGGATGTTGGACAGTGTTGGGGATGAAAAAATTTGCATTTATCACCACGCCTACAGCCAAACTTTCTGCGGGTACTATTTTTAATGAACTTAGAGCAGCGTGGAGGGTGGAACATTTTGCATGCTGATTGATCATTACTTGGCGTTTTACCACTGACACCGTGTGGGCATTTTCCAAGTTTTAGCAAGCTGCAGATCTCATCAAGCCGTAAATTGGGCAGCTGCGATTTATCGTCATTTACTGAATGTTGTTCATCTTCCTGTGATTTGACGATTGAAAGCTTTTTCTGAAGCTCATCTTGATCAAGGGAGACATGTTGTTTTTTCTGGTTCTGGGAAGATGGAGTGTTTGCACCAGATTGCTGTTTAGAGGCCAATTTACTAGGGGCCTTGGATTTCGCCTTTGACTGATTTGATAAGTTGGTTTCATAACATGCTTTGCAAAGCCAAACAGAAGTAGCTGAAGACACACGTGGTTCAAAAGAATCACAATCATGGCAGCCTTGCAAACAAAGAAAGCAACATGCGGCAGCTTTTGTAACAGAATCAAACTGAGTCGAGTATTCGATATCACAATCCGGACAGATGGCAGGGTACAGTGACTGAATCTCGAGTATGATTCTCTTGGCAAGTGAAGGCTTATTTGAAAATATACGGTTGCCTTTAGGCTCCTCGGTTTTGATGTTGAGAAAAAGAGCACAAGCGTTCAATGTAGCTAACTGAAAACGGGGCCCACCGAGTACAGTCTGATTATCGGACACATCTTTAGACGAGTCAAAAGCAGTCAGGAGTGTTTTGGAGAGTGGATCTGCTTTACTCAAAAGATTACCAATAATAAGCCGTATCTTTTCATCGAAATTTGGAATGACAGTTGACATAGTTTACAGATTCCGTGTACTTGTATTGTGTATAGTGTGTAAAAATCCGTCGAACAATTACACGCACACAGTGATGAGCCAGTCTTATCTCAAATAGAAATATTAGATAAGAGAGCTATGCAAATGTAAACGTATTCAAAAGTGTATATAAAATGAACAGCTTTTGTACGAAAATGTACTTTAATTTCAACATTAAACTCAAAAACAGATAATAATAGTGGTAAAATTGTGAAGAAATTCATGGTGGTTAATTAACTAACAAGCGTGATTGTAGTCGGAACAGATAATTAATTTCATTTCAGTTGCGCTCAGCAAAGTCACAACTCATGACCTCTAGAAGAGTGAACTTGCGGCGCTTACTTGACAGTGAGAGGGTGCAGTATGGGGCAGAGTTAGAAGCACTGGGTCTCACTTACAAACAGTGTAGACTATAAGAGCTTACCTGATAGTCTTACATTTGCTCCTCCTTACGACACAGTAGAGACTATAAGAGCTTACCTGATAGTCTTACATCTGCTCCTCCTTACGACGCGGGAGACTTTTTGTTTGTGTTGGAGAAGCATAAAAAATAACTACAGTCTGCATTTGTTTGTGTTTTCTTTATTCTGATTGTGAACAGCTCGTACAGAGATGGTTATTGAGTTATTATCAGGATTTAAAGGATTATCCCCGTTCAAAGACGCAACTGTAGACGACAGCTGGGACCAGATAAACAGGTGTTATGTGTTCCTAGCGATGGTACTGATGGGGGCAGTAACCACTATGAGACAGTATTCTGGAACCCTTATCGCGTGTGACGGGTTCAGTAAGTTTCACCCTCAGTTTGCAGAGGACTATTGCTGGAGTTTAGGAATGTATACTGTGCGTGAGGCGTACGATCTGCCGGCCAGCATGGTGCCCTACCCTGGAGTTCTACCATCAGATCTGCCCGCATGTGTTCCGCGTCTCTTGAAGAACGGTACATTAACAAAGTGTGGCAGTGAGAAAGATGTCCTGCCAGCAGACAGGATATTTCACTTGTGGTACCAGTGGGCTAGTTTTTACTTCTGGATTGTTGCTATTCTCTACTACACACCTTACATAATGTTCAAACAGTTGGGAGGGTCCGAGTATAAGCCGCTTATAAAGCTGCTATGTCTCGCCTCCTCCGCCAGTGAAAAACACATGGAGGAGATACAAGAGCGAGTGGTCAACTGGCTGTTCTTCAGATTTAAAACTTACATATTCGACAAGGGTTACTACGCCTGGCTGCGAAAGAACAGCTTCAGTCTGGTAATCGGAGTAACCAAGCTCTCCTACCTTCTCATAACAGTTGCTGTGTTCTACCTGACAGGCTTCATGTTTGAGTACGGCAATAACACATGGTACCGGTACGGTGCTGACTGGTACGGTACCAGGTTCTCTCCTTATATGGACGTTAACAATTCCATCACTCTCAATAAAGACATTCTCTTTCCTAAGATGGTGGCATGTGAGATTAAGAGATGGGGTCCCTCTGGGATAGAGGTGGAGACAGCACAGTGTGTTCTCGCTCCTAATGTTCTTTATCAGTACCTCTTCCTTTTCACCTGGTACCTCTTGGTAGCTGTGTTCTTTGCTAACCTCATCAGTTGTTTCCTCCACATTTCTGAGATGTTTTTCTCCAATGGTACCTACAACAGGATGATTGACCAAGGAATGTTGCCCAATAAACCCATGTACAGGTTTGTCTTCATGAACATTGGAGCTGGAGGAAGGGAGATTGTACAGATTCTCACGGATAACTCCAACCCTCTTCTTTTCAGTAAGATCTTCAACGATCTGACAAGCATGTTGATTACCACTGCTAAGAATGATGATGTTGTTGAGAACCTAAACACTAAGACTGAGACGTCTGTTATCGAGTTTGAGAGCAATGATTCGCTCTAATTGATCATACTTGAGATACCTTACTATTAACCATGGTTTCTTTTAAACATTATATTTTGACTGCCCTGCAGTTTAGCTCATTTTAGCTCATTTTAGCCCATTTTAGTGCATTTAAGTGCATTTTACGTAATTGTGTGTAATCTGACCGTTGATTTCGTTTAAACATTTAAATTTCATTGTTCCTCGTAGTATTTTATTCAAATACATTTATATTAATCATTTTATGTTTTATCATTGTATCAGATGTTTCTTATTTTGTATCAATAAAATGTGTCTCTATTTGATAATTGGGATACACGTTAACCAACATGCACAATGCACATTCATACTCATCAACATCACTCACCCACACTTACATGTTCACATCCACATAGCATCAGTCATGCCTGATGCCATGGACAGCACCACCAGCAAGCGCTACGAGGGTAAAATCCCGTGGGTGCAGCGCTCACAGCCAGCAGTGCGCCGCCAGCAGTGTAGGATCCTGGACGATCAGAAGAACGCTGCAATGGTAGCTGATAATGTGGAGTGTGAAAAAACCAGCCTCTTTGCAAACTGGAAGGAGGTGATTGTCATGAACTTCTTAACTATTGCAGTACAGTGCCATCTTTTCTTTAAATTATAATCATTATTGCCTCATATCAAACTTGTTGTGAAAATTATGTATAATATTTTATGTATTAACACAGTGTTTAACTTAATAAATTAACTTAATTATTCGCAGAAGGACCAGCACGAACAGAAGAGTCTGGAAGATAATTACAAAACTATCAACAAAGAAACACAAGCTGTAAAAACAGCCAGACTTGCAGTGCGCAGAGAGGTGAGATGTGCGGTCAAGATTTTTTATATACATATATAATATATATATATATATATATATATACTGTAATTTAAAGTATTTTTCCAGTTTTAAAGGACCAGAATTGCTTACCTAGACTTTCAATGTTAAATTTCAGTTGCTGGCTAATAAGCTAGAGGAAGAAGACAGACAGTGCCAGAGCGAACTGCAAGCAAAAGGATTAGCTCAATTCAAAGAACGTAGATAAACCATCAGTTCAATCATTCAAATACCACCTCTCATTTCACAATTTATGTTCTACTACGACTTTTCTTAACTGACATTTTTGTTTAAAGTTTGCCTGAACAATACCGGCTCAGTTACATATTTGTCATTTGATGATTACATTTTGCACTGGTTGCAGAATAATCAGCAAATCTTACGATAAAAGTTCAACATGCGTACCATTTGTTTCAAGAGAGAGCAGTGTTTGTGGTTGCTAGGTAACAGTAGGTAGGTAACAGTCACCACGCACCTTAATCAAATCAATTTGCCAGCTTTGATGTGAAGCTGTGGTCACGTCAAATAATGTCATAGCTGTAGCGCGCCCCTTCAAAATTGTATCGCGCTAAACCACTACTGCATTCAGTGAGACAGAATCTGGGGCGCGCGAGGCGCGATCAAACTGGGACAGAAAATTCGTGCTAATACAGTGGGGTGACATATGTTTTCGTCACTTCTGATAATGACAATACAAACAGCGTTAAACGAACAATTTTCATTGAACCATAACTCCGCTTCCGGACCACCGATTTACAAAATTCAAAAATGGGTGTTTAGAGAAAATTCTGAACTTTTCTCGGCGGCGCGAAAAGTGGCATGCAACGTATTATTATTATTATAAAGGGTCTCAATAAAGCCGTAGTACATACATATTGCATTACTTTAAAACCGACTTTACACTGAAACCGTCACAGACGCGCGCGCGCGTTTTTCGCGCGAAGAATCATTTAATCTTCGCTATGCGTGTTACGTTAAAAGAAGTAATCCTGCTATAATCTGCCATTTATGGCGCATTTGTGGTATGAGAGAGATAGATAGAGAGATATATAGAGAGAGAGAGAGAGAGAGAGGGAGAGAGAGAGAGAGAGAGAGAGAGAGGGAGAGAGAGAGAGAGAGAGAGAGAGAGAGAGAGAGAGAGAGAGAGAGAGAGAGAGAGAGAGA